GGATGACTAGCAGAATGAAGGAAATTCAAAACAAAAGAGTGCACAGGGAGTTGAAGGCCGATCTCATTGACCATTTATGGGACTTACATGGTGGTCAGCAAATTGACTGAAATATAATTGTATCTTGAATCTAAAAATATGAATTTATTTTCGTATTTTTAGTTTGTTTAGTGATTGTTGTATTTTCTTAGAAAATATTATGTCAATTGATGGTAGTGTGATAAATTCAAGTGTTATAGTTCAATGATTATGATCAATCAAGAATATAAATTAGAGCTTGCTTAGCTTTAGCAGCAGCAAGCAAAAGCAGTAATGAGTTGGTCAATCACAAATATTCTTTTAGAGGTACTAATTACTAAGTGTACAAAGTGTATAGTGTGGTAGGTGGTGTTAATCACATACAAGGTGGAGATTAGAAGGATTGGGTTTTTCTTATACATGGTGAGGCCTGACAATGACACATAACACCATCTTGAGCTTTTTTATAACACCTAAACAGAGAGATAAAATTATAGAAGCCAATCTTCTTAAAGGATTTCAAAATTACACTCCTAGCACCATTTACAACAATATTACTTTTCTGCTACTTTTTGACATGATTCTGGATATATAAATTATGATCTTAACAATCAGTTGAAAACAAAATAGTGTAATAGCTGACAAATTCTAATAACGTCGATGGTGCACTTATTCATATTTCTTGCTAAAATCTAAACAATATTTTGATGATTAATAAAAAAACACATGGACCTGATATGATAAATAATCCAATTGGACACCATTAACATCATAAATAAAAGTAGCAAAAAACTAGTTATTATTTCTTAGGAAAAAAAAAAACTAAAATAATACATTAAGGAAATATCAATACTTAATTCAACATGGTAATCTTGCACAACTCAAAAATTAGTCCAAGCCTTCTGCTGAATCCTCAAAACCCTGAACATAAGAAAAGAGAAATTATGTATCAAAACAATTTTTTTAAAATTTAACCAAAAGCACATAGTAGTATACCTGTGAGTTTGCCATATCAGTTTCAAATATATCATCTTTTTCCCATTCTTTCAAAATCTTGGCTTGCATGGCTTCATATGCATCCCTAGCTACAGGTGTAAGCTTACTTAAATCCTGATTCATTACCCGTTCTTGTCGTTTTCTCCTTTGTTCCTTCATCTTCATTTCCATCTCCCTGTTTAGTGCGTGCCTTTTCAACTTGATATTTTCTTCTTCATTTTTCTTTCGCATCTCTAAAGTTTTTTCATTGATACTAATCTGCTTTGCCAAAGTGGACTGCAACTGGTTTAATGCATCTACCACACCTTTTTCATCATGCAATTTTCTTTTCTTTTCCTTACTATTTTTTCTTCCCGTTGGTCGTCCCACACCATCACACTTATTACCTTCAGGTGATATGTTATCATCAATGATATTCAACAAAGACTCTTCCGACGTAGGAGACTTTTTTTCATCATCCGCTTGTCTCTCTGGTGTAATGTTCTTATCATGCTTCGACTGCCATTTCGGATTTTTATTCATTATTTCCCAGCAATGAACCCATTTGAATTTGCTACCTTCTATATCCTCGTACATACCCAGCGCCTTGTGAATCTACAAAGATAATAAATAAAATATAAAAATGTGACGATAGGTTACTGTTGTAATAAAATTTTTTCCAACAGTTACAAGAAAATTATTAAATGGCGTAAACACTTAACGTAACATAATATACTTACCAAGTCATTTGAGTTTGTACCACTCTGAGGATGCCTCTCTAGTTTAGAATAATGTCCTGCAAAGTTGTTTACCGCTGCATGTATTATGGACCAATGGCATTGTAAACTATTAGACGATCTAAGATATTTGCATGCAGGCCCCATGTTTTCCTTCCGTACTTGATGGATGCGAACCCACATGGCAGTAGCTTTTTGATTGTTACCCACAATAGGGTCCAATGACACATTCAACCATGCGTTTGTCAAAGCTTCTTCTTCTTCTATACCCCAATCTTTTTTTCCACTTGGTGTTTGGACATCTTTAACTCTCTTTTTTATTCCTTTTGGTGGTACTTGATTCTGATTGTTGATGCCCGTGGTGTTGCCACAAGTTTGAGAAGAAACCATTGCGGTGCTAGCTGGAATTCGGCTACTTCCCATGGAAGTGTTACGATGAGTTTGGAAACTGGTCATTGGAGTGTAGATAGGAAAATGAGCATTGTTAAAACCACCTTGATTGATAGCCACTGAGCAGGATATATTCCACTACTTTGAAATGTAGGAGTGGCTCCATATTGTAGGTCAACATGAGCAGGATATATTCCACTACTTGAATTCAAGTGAAAATCAGGAGGATGAGATTCTGAGTTCTGATGAACATGTGGGTTTGCAAATTGAGATGCCAAATCATAGTTAGAGCGCTCATCAGAATTTGACATGATATTGGGTTTTTGTGGACCCCTGTCAATTTTTATAAACAAGAAGAATATTAAAAAAATTAACAAAAAAATATTAATGAAAGAAAAATAGTTGCATGTATGCTATTTATCATCAGTGAGAGAAAAAAAAATAGTCAATACAAGTTAATCATTAGAAAGAGTTCTACACACAAGCAGTGATGTTTGCTTTAGCTTCTTCGTGTTCAGTTAAGAACAAATTGCTTCAACTAACTAAACATCACATAGAACTTGTCATGAAATGAAAGAAACATATTAATCAATATGAGGTGAAGTATTTCAGTTGCAAGCTTTTACCTCTAATTTCAGTTTAATCCATGCTCATGTACCCTCAGTTTGATATATATATTTTCTCCTACAAGCTTAATCCACTTTACCACATTAGTTTGACCTAGCTTACAAATTAGGTGCTGTCAAATCTGGACTACTGATTTCTAATCTTTTACAATAACTAATTATCAATCTGAAAAAAAAAATTAAATAAATAAACACTAGAACTCATAATCTCTCATGAAATAAGGACTTGGTCCTTGAAGTCTCAAACAAATCAACACCATAAAGTGAAATCTATGGTTATCAATTAAACAATTGTAAAATTTATACAAAAAACAAAGTACACTAAGTCAGTTATAATCATTAGAAAAAAAAAAAAAGCAAAATGGGTTATGAATGAAGGAATCTGAATATTATTCTAATAACTGTGAAATCAAATCTCTCACCCTACATACTTTTCTCACCCTACATACTTTCCCTCATTTTCTTATCAAACCCACAAAGATTATTGGCATATTTCAAGTGTTTGGAGGTCATCAAATACTAATTTGAAGAATAAGCTTCTTATATGCACCTTCTTTAAAAAACTATGTTCATTCATTTCAAAATAACATTGATTAACAATTACAAAATATCAATGATGAACAATTACTGTATGGACAAAATGTGTTCTTACAAAATAACACTGATTACCAATTACAAAATAATTATCATCTAAAACTGTCAGCCCTTAACAATCAAAATCAATTTCAGTACATGGGGAGATGCTAAACAAAACAAAATCTGGGAAAACAGTAAACACAAACTCAAGCAAAAACTGATTGTAACAAAAATCCAAAATAAAATTATTTTTCCATCCAAAATCATCAATGACAAAAGGAAGAAAAAGAAAATGTCTCAATTTTGCAAAATTGATACCAAAATGCAAAAGGCTACAGACAAATTATCTCGAAAGATTTCAGAAAAAAAAAATAAAAAATAAATAAATAAATAAAAAATAAAGAAACAAATTGACTCAATAATGGTGAGCTGGGTTTCGAAAATTCATTATTGTATAAAATTCACAAGCATAAATAATAAACATTTCCATTCAATTAAATTCAATTCAAATAAACAAAATCTTACACAATCAAGAAAAAAAAGTGACTCACTTACTTGAAATTTGTGGCTGAATCGGTAATTGGAATTGTGCCGCAAATATTTCTTTTTGTTCATGAGAAGCGGAAATTGAAATCTCTTCTTGATAAAATTTGG